ACATCACCGCCGTGCCGGCGTCCCTCGTCCCCCCGCACGACGTGCTGACGGCCGGCTTCCCGTGCCAGAGCTTCGCCAAGGCGGGGCCGGCGACGGGGCTGCAGCATGAGAAGGGTTGGCTCTTCTACGAAGTGGTACGCCTGCTTCGCGCCGCCGCCCCACAAGGGTTCCTGCTCGAGAACGTTGAAAACTTGCTGCGCGTGGAGGAGAGCGCGCAGCTGCACACAATTCTACGAACGCTGCGCCAGCCGGCGGCGGACGGTGCCCTTCGCTACGCGGTGGAGTACCGCGTTATTGACGGCGCCCTCGTCACACCACAGCGGCGGCGGCGTGTATACTTTGTTGGTGTCCGCGCCGATTTGCCGCGAGCGACGACGCAAGCAATGAGTGCCACCCTCGACACGGCGCTGCAGGAGCTGGAGGAGTACCGACAGACACACCCGGAGGCACCGCGCTGCGTGCGGGACATTCTCGAGTTCCGCAGCGATGTGGCCGTGATGAATGAGCAGCAGCAGCAGGAGTTGGTATCCTTGTGCTTAACAGAGGCGCAATGGGAGTCCGTGCAGCGCAGTAAGACATATCGACAATCTTCTGCGTGGCGTGTGGCGGATGTTGATGGCTTGGCCCGAACGCTGATGGGAAGCTACCGCACGAGTTATCAGCTGTACTCGGAGTTTCTCCCGGTGCCCGACCACGCTCCGCCGCTGCGGTTCTACTCCATCCGTGAGTGCGCACGGTTACAGGGGATCCCCGAGTGGTTTTCTTTCAACCCTGCGGAGCCCTCGTCTACCCGCGCCGGTGACAAGAGCAGCAGTGGCGATGCTAACGTACAACGAGGTGTTGTGCCGGTGGGTGCGGTCTACAAGTTGATTGGCAACGCAGTGAATCCCATCGTCGTGGAGCACTTGGGCCGCGCCCTGCTGGCATGCCTTCCGCCGTAACGACCAGACACGCTGCTGTGTGTTTGCATGGGAGTTTTGTGTGTGTGTGTGTCTCTCTCTCTCTCTCTCTGTCCTTCTGTGGCTCTTGCGCATCCCGCACTGCTGCTGTACTCTTTTTGTTCCCACCTACTCTTTTAACTTGCCCACCACGTGCCGTCAGCTCGAGTTCTTTACGTCGTAAGCAACACACAGGAAGCCATGCCGCCGAAGAAGGGAGGAAAGGACACGAAGGCCGCGCCCAAGAAGGGCAAGATGGAGAACCTCAACAAGGGCGCCAAGAAGGCGGCCAAGAAGTGGTCCAAGGGCCGCACCCGCGAGGCGCTGCAGAACGCCGTGATGTTCGACAAGGAGACGCTGGACAAGCTCATGAGCGAAGTGCCCAAGTACAAGGTCATCACGCCTTCCATCATCAGCGACCGCCTTAAGATCGCCGTCTCCCTCGCCTCGAAGGGCCTGCAGCACCTGTGCAAGCAGAAGCTGATTAAGCTCGTCTCCTGCAGCAGCAAGGCGCGCGTGTACACGCGTGTGTAGACGGGTATTGGGGCGGGGTGGGGAATGGGAGAAGAACAACATCGCGGAGACATATGCCGGTGCGTGAGGCTCCGTTGTGTGTTTGTGCTCCCTCTTCATCCCTCTTGATCTCTGTCTCCCTCGCTTCTGTGGCCTGTGCTTCGTGCTGACTGTTATGATCAGACGCAAAGACTATGTGGAGCATGTGAGTGTTTTATTTTTTGTTTTTGTGCCTTGATTTCAAACCCTGAGCTTCCACCGGAGCATGTGCGTTGCCGAGGCGCACGTGTGCTTCGCCGTGCCGCTCCCTCTTTCACGCTCCTCTGTGTCTCTGCGTCTCGTACGCCCCGCTGACTCGTAGTGGCATTCCGTCTCTTTCTCCTTTGCGCTCGTCTTCTGTCCTGCACGTATCATCACACACACACACACACACACACACGCCTTGTAAAGTAGTAAGTACTGCCGCTTGCCTTTCGCTGATATTCTATAAAACGCAATGCTGACGCGCCTTCGTAGTGCTGTTCTGCGCGGTGCCGCTGGTGCGCGTGCCGCCTCCGCTGGCGGTGCCGTCGCCGACCATAAGGGCCGCGTCGGGTACGTGTCACAGGTCATTGGCGCCGTCGTCGACGTCCACTTTGCTGAGGGTGTGCCGCCGGTGCTGACCGCCCTCGACGTGGTGGACAACCTCGGCCGCGATGAGGCGCTCACGCTGGAGATTGTGCAGCACTTGGACGCCCACACTGGCCGATGCATTGCGATGCAGACGACAGACCTGCTGAAGCTCAAATCAAAGGTAGTATCGACGGGCGGCAACATCTCCGTGCCGGTCGGTCGCGAGACGCTTGGCCGCATCTTCAACGTGCTGGGTGACGCCATTGATCAGCGTGGTCCTGTTGGGGAGAAGCTGCGCATGCCCATTCACGCTGTCGCGCCTAAGCTAGCCGACCAGGCAGCCGAGGACACGATTCTCACCACCGGCATCAAGGTGATTGACCTCATTCTGCCCTACTGCAAGGGTGGTAAGATCGGTCTCTTCGGTGGCGCCGGTGTGGGCAAGACCGTCATCATCATGGAGCTCATTAACAACGTGGCCAAGGGGCACGGTGGCTTCTCCGTCTTCGCTGGCGTCGGCGAGCGCACCCGCGAGGGTACGGACCTGTACCTGGAGATGATGCAGTCCAAGGTCATTGACCTGAAGGGCGACTCCAAGTGCGTGCTGGTGTACGGGCAGATGAATGAGCCCCCGGGCGCGCGTGCGCGTGTTGCGCAGTCGGCCCTGACGATGGCAGAGTACTTCCGTGATGTGGAGGGGCAGGACGTGCTGCTGTTTATCGACAACATTTTCCGCTTCACTCAGGCCAACTCGGAGGTGTCTGCCCTTCTCGGCCGCATTCCCGCCGCCGTCGGCTACCAGCCCACACTCGCAGAGGATCTCGGTCAGCTGCAGGAGCGCATCACGTCCACAACGAAGGGTTCCATCACGTCCGTGCAGGCTGTGTACGTGCCGGCTGACGATATCACCGACCCCGCGCCGGCCACAACCTTCTCGCACTTGGACGCAACGACGGTGCTCGACCGTGCGGTGGCGGAGTCCGGCATTTACCCCGCCGTGAACCCGCTGGAGTGCGCGTCGCGTATCATGGACCCCGATGTGATCAGCGTTGACCACTACAACGTGGCGCAGGATGTGGTGCAGATGTTGACCAAGTACAAGGAGCTGCAGGATATTATTGCCGTGCTTGGTATCGACGAGCTGAGCGAGGAGGACAAACTGATCGTGGACCGCGCCCGCAAGGTGACGAAGTTCCTCTCCCAGCCCTTCCAGGTCGCGGAGGTCTTCACAGGCATGACAGGCCATTACGTGCAGCTGGAGGACACCATCGAGTCCTTCTCCGGCCTGCTGATGGGCAACTACGACCAGGTGCCAGAGATGGCCTTCTACATGGTGGGTGGCATCAACTCCGTGCTGGAGAAGGCGAAGAAGATGGCGGAGGAGGCGGCAGAGCTCGAGAAGATGCGCCGTGCCCGCGCCGCGCAGGCCAACTAGTAGTAATGCGAATCTATATTGGTCTCTGCGCGTGTGTGCGTGCGCGTCTATGTTTGGGTGTGTGGGTGGCTTTTTCCCCCTGTCGATGCATGTATGTAGCAGCAGCAGCCGCAGCAGTAGCAACGGCAGCAGGAACGGCAATGATAGTGTTGGCAGCATCAGTTGCATGGAGTAATGGCACGCGGGTTGGGTTCTTGACGCAACGCGCCTGCATGAGCCTCTCTCACGTGGTGGCTGCGAAGTCAAGAGGAGTGCAAGGAAGGGTAGCGGCTGGCACGGCGGGAGGCGAACAAACAACGTTCTGCCTAGGAAAGAATAGACGATGTCTGTCTCTGTGTTTGTGACGATGAACAAAAAAAAAAAAAAAAGGGGGTGGAAAAAAAAAAAAAGAGGGAGCACAGGGAGCGAAACAGTAAACAAACAAACAAACAGGAAGAGAAAAAAAAGAGAAAAAAAAAGGCACGAAAAAAATCCCAACAACAACAACAAAAACAAAAACAAAAAGAGATTGTAAGGAAACAAAGAAGAGAATTCCGAGGCATGCACGGCGAGAGTATAAGAAAGAAGGCGTGGGCCTGTGCGTGCGTCTTTCTCTCTCTCTCTCTGTGCGTGTGTGTGTCTGACATCTGGAATGGACGGAGAGAGTGTGTGTGTGTGTAGGACGGGTGTGGGCACCGCAGACACGATACCCACGTAGGAGCGCGTAGCAACAACTGTTTCGTAGGAGGACCTTTCTTTTTTTGGTTTCTTTTCTCTTCTTCAGTTCATTCTTCTCTCTTCGCCGCGTCTGTAATGTGTGGTGCGTGGGAGCTGCGTGTGTGTGTGTGTGCGTGAGGGGCGGGGAGGCCGAGGGGTACGCGCGCTGCACACACACACACACACACACACGCTGGAGAGGCACCGGGCGGCGAAGAAAGAAGGGACCGATAAGAAGTGAAGGGAGTGGGAGAGAGACACGGAAAGGAAGCGGGAAAAATACGCCATGGCAGTATGAGGTATAGGTGCGGCTGTGTGTCTGTGTGTGTGTGTGCGGGGCGGGCCTGTGTCTGGCTGGCTGTTTTGTAGTGCTTCGCGGTCGCTGCTCGCCACATCTCTCTTGGCTGTCTGTCTGTCTGTCTCCCCTTTTGTTGTTTTGTTTATTTGTTGTTACTGCCGCTGTCGCTGCTGTTCGTTGTGGCGTGCGTGCGGCCTGCTCAGTAGTGGTGCGGCGATAGTGTGTGATTAGTTTCGTGGATACCTTGCGGCTTGAGCGCGCAGGTAACTACAGCAACAGTGCCTGAGAGGCGGTTTCAATTGTACACGCAGAAGTAGAGAGGGGACGTGGGAGGCGGTGAGGTGCGAGGCGGCGGTGCAGCAAGAGAAACAAAACCAAACAACAACAACAACAACAACAACAATATCAACAACATCAGGAAAGGTCGGGTAGCGACGATGGTCAACTGGTGGCTCATTGTTCTGCTCGTCATCGTCGGGCTGATGTGCGTGGGGCTCGGCGTCTACACCCTCATCTACTTCCAGTCGGAGGAGGACGAGGGGGAGGCGTACACGGCCAAGGTGATCGTCGTGGTCGGCATGGTGATGTCCATCGGCGTCGTGCTGCTGCTGCCGCTCGATGCCGCCAACGCCACGGACCCGACCGTCCCCACGAAGTACGCCAATACTCTCAACACGCCGCTCATGTGGCAGATCGTGCTGTGGTTCTTGACCGCCATGACTGTGGTGGTGGTGCCGTTCGTCATGTTCTTCTATGAGGCGTACGACCCGGACAAGAACAAGCCCGGGCGGCAGGTGGGGCAGGCGGTGTTCTACACCGTCGGCGTATTCGGCGTCTTCGCTATTATATGCGGTGTGTGCTACGCCAAGGTCGGTGTGTCGGTGGTGCCGATGCGGAGCTATGTGGCGTACCCACAGTTCGTGCAGAACGTGGAGGACGTGGCGTACAACGGCACCAGCGTCTCTGGCAAGCTGGAGATCGGCGTCAGCTTCTTCACGTACTGCGTTGGCATGCTCTGCTTCTTTGGCTGGATTGCCTTCTTCTTCTACGGCGGCGTTGGGCTCGTGTCGTTCCCTATTGACCTCATACGCGGCTTCGTGAAGCGGCCAAAGGCGATTAGCGGCGCCCGCTTCGCGCAGGAGATGGCCGTCATCGCTGCGAAGGGCGACGCGCTGCTCGAGCTCTCACTGGAGACGCAGAAGGCGAGCCGTGGCACCATTTCCCGCTCGATGCGTAGCAAGATCAACATCCTGCGCAACGAGACGCACATCCTCGAGGCGCAGCAGGAGCAACTCATATGGGCCTACACGCAGGCAGGCGGCTCGCCGTTTATTGTGTACGGCCGGCTGCTGATCGGCATCGTGTCGGTCCTCGTCAGCGTGGCGTGGGCGCTGCACATATTCCTCTACAACACCTTCGGCGCCACGCCGTTCCTCAATACTCTTCTCACCGAGCTGGACAGCGCCTTCTCGCTCTTTGGCATCATCGCGTACGGCGCGCTGGTGTTTTACCTGATGTGGATCACCTTTGAGGGCCAGGTGCGCCTCGGTATGCGGCTCGTGTTCTTCCAAATCCACCCACTGAAGCCGCACGACACGACACTCAACTCACTGCTCTTCAACATCGCACTCTTGCTCCTCACCAGTGTCGCCGTCGTAGAGTTCGCCGCGCGGTCCTTCCAGGAGTATAGCCCATGGACAGCCATCAACGCGCTGATGAACATATTCGTGCTGCACCTCAAGGGCATTGGGTATTTTATCATGCTGGCGCAGTTCTTCTTCCTTGGCATCTCGCTGCTGTCGCTGGTGTGGGTGATCCTGTGCCCCGTGCACAGGAAGCGGGGGGACCCGACGAAGGTGCGGCTCGCCAATAACTAGCGCGAGCATCCATGGGATCAGCTGGGTGGGCGTGTTGTATGATGGTGGCGATGATGATGATAAAGAAGAAGAAGATGAAAGGAGAATGAATCAGGAAACGAAATGAAGGGAAAGGCANGAAGAAGAAGCAAAGCCAAAAACAAAAACAAAAGAACAAAAAAGAATAAACAACAACATCAACAAGAATGACGAATACAGTGGCAGGAAACGAATATTCGACCCACCCCGTGCCCCTTCCCACCCTTCTGATGTTCGCTCTGGCCAGCAGCGACGGCGATGACCGCGGCAGCACAGAGAGAGCGAGCGGGAGAGGGGAGGCGTGTAAAGTGGGGCGGAGGGCACACCGACAGACAGGCGGGCGGGCAGACTGACCCACACAGTCAGGCGGGCGAGCTTCCCTGTCCTCCTCCTCCTTCTTCCAGGCCTTGCGCATATGCTGCGCGCGCGGCCACAGTCTCGGCTCACCGTTGACCGGGAGGATGTTTTCCGTGCAGCGTGGACATGCGCGGAACTGCTATACCTTTTACACACACCTACACTCCCTATCTGTTTGCTTCATTTTTGCAGTACTCTTTTTTTGTTTCTTTTCTTGTTTGCCGTTGCAAGCCACTCGCTCCTCCTGCGCATGTGACTAGGGATGGGGGGGGAGTGAGTGAGTGAGTGGGCGAATGGAAACGATGTGGACAGTGTGGAGGAGGAGGAGGGGTGGGGGGTGCAGAGGACGTACCCAACTTCTTACCTCCTGTGTGGCACCCCGCTGCTTCTTTCTTTCGTGCCTTCCTTTTGGTGTGTGTGCGGGGTGTGTGTGTCTTAACGGCATCTGTGGCAATGCGCCTCTCTCCTTCTCACACGTTTTCTCCTCGCTGTTTTCTTTTGGCGTGCGTGTGATCTTCCTGGCGCCCGTTGCCGTCGTGACGCGCCCGCAAGCTCACTCACAGCAATTCCTCAAAACATAGGAGAGTGTTGCGGCGGACCCACAACTACAGCAGCAGCGGGAGGAGCCACGTCGCTGTTTGCGTCCAGACAACACACAGACACACATTACTTTCGTATACAGATAAGCATACATACAGCGGAGATTAATAACCAATAGCACACCAGCGCGGCCCCCTGTTGCGAATGCCGTCATCGTCGTCGTCGCTGACGGCGCCGCCAAAGCTGCCGGAGATGTGGCCACAGTCACAGGAGCAGCTGCTGCCGCTGCTGGACATCCCCGACGGCGTCACAGCGTGGGACGCCGCCGCTCTCGAGGAGGAGCGACGTGAGCGCAACGCCGATGGACACGCCGAGCGTCTGATGCGGACCATCAACGTACTTGGGATGCGCAGCAAGCAGGCACAGGGACTGAACGCCGTCCTTACATCGGTCGCACGACTGCGAGAGAACAGGGGGGCACGCCTCTATCTTGCCTGCCACGAGGGTCGTGGCGTTGGCATCCTCAAGGTGGGTGTGAAGAAGCTCTTCGTGACGCACCCCAAGTACAAGGCGCTAGTGGAGCTTGACCCGCTGTGTGTTCTCGACTTCTTTGTTGACACAAGTTGCCAGCGACGGGGGTTTGGAAAATCGCTTTTTGATTTCATGGTAGCAAATGAGCATCTCACGCCGGGGGAGATCGCGATTGACCGCCCGAGCACCAAATTCCTCGCATTCCTCCAGAAACACTACGGCTTGGTGGAGTACACACCACAGTCGAATAATTTTGTGGTGTTTCACAGGTACTTCGAAGGCAAGCATCCGCAGCGTGGGAGAGACGGCAGAGGTGGCGGTGCGTGGCCCTCCGCCTCTTCCGTGGGGCAGCAGAACAGCCGAAGGTCCTACCCCGGCTACAACGGCGTGAAGGGCAGCAGTGATTGTTGGCCTGAACCCAATATTTCTCGCGTCCAGCCGTTGCCCTTGCAGCATGCACAGCAAGGGCCACCGTCTTTGCAGCAGACACCACAACGCAAAACGGCGTATGAGTTGCAGTACGAGGAGTATATGCGACAACAGACAAATCCAACGCCGGGAAGGAACGTGCCAGTACTGCCCGGCCACAAACCAATGCCCTCCGCGGAGCTCTATGCGGCGGAGCATGGCGCGAAACGCCGTTTGTCGCCCACACGCAGCGGGGTGCCGTACAACATCATTAGCGGAGCCCCGGGGAAATGATTGAGAGGAGAGTTCATGTGTGTGTGTGTGAGAGAGAGACGTAAAGGAGACTGATGGACAGAGACGTTTGAAGAAGAAAAGAACTGGATTAA